TTGAACCCTCTTCTCTCTAAATCGCATTACTTCTCCTCCTAAACATGTTTACCGACAATCTGTTAACTGTTTGTTTTCATCACATTCAGCATATACATATTAAATAATTTTGCTGGCAACAGTTTGGGAAAGAATTTGAGTCAAAATATTTTTAATATTCAGTCAGAAAGTAAAAATAAAGGCACGATGGCAATGACGACATAGAAAAAATTTAAATATTCATTTATAGACCCAAAAACTAATAAAGTTTCTCAACATCATGTTGATTAACGTTAAAATTTACATTTTCATGAAAGGAGAAAATTTGCATCAGAATGTGAAAGATGAAGACATGGATGGAAAGAATGATAGAAGTGAATTTATTAAAGATTTAATTTTATTTGAAAATATAGAAATCAGAAAATCTAGATTTACTTGGCAACAATGCTACTAGCTTCATCTGATTCATAACTTTTAAGTTCTAGACTGTACTGTTAAATATTTCGTTGAATTCGACGGATAACTTTTCAAAAAGTGCTACACAAAGAATCGTGGAATCAAACATTGATGTTAGAGAAATAAAGCAAACTTGCAGACAATGAAATCAAAACATTCAACATTTTTATTTAAACATTGTCTAGACACGTTGTTAGATTCTCATCTTCGAGAGTCAATTGAGGTGCAAACTTCTTAATGCACAGAGATTTAAAGTTATTGGAAAATTCATTTACTTTATAAAATCAGATACGAGCTGTTTTCTTGTCTGAACAAATTCTTTAATAAATTTAAAGGAAGAGGGTTGATGCCGAACTTATTCTATAATTTTGAATATCAAGTAAAGCCTTTGAGTTCAACCTTTTCCAACTATGAAGAAAATTCAGCTTCAAATAAAACATCGTCGAAAAATTCACACAATTAATTTCTTTATTCCCTTCCCGAAAAATTCTCAACCACCTTAATGACATTAGTGCTTCACTTCACCAATTTTAATTTTCATCTTATTACATGCTTTATATCTCAACCATTATTCTACACTCTTTCTAACATTTGTTTAATTCACTTCAAATCATATTCATGCTCTGTCTATTATCCTCAAATTCCAAGTCTTCATCTCTCTCAACCCCATCAAAGTCATTTTATCATGAGATGCAATTATTCGTATATAACTGTATAACATTAAAATCTAAGATATAAGTATGAAACAAAAAAAAAGGATGAAAAGACACATCGCACATAATAGCATTAAGACGACATTTAAGTACTTGACAAAAATTTAATTAAAAACAGCACTTAATGTGAATTTAATTTGATGTCGCATTTGAGATGAGCGCTCCACATATTTTTGCGGAAATTGAGTGTGAAAACATTATGTTTTTGTGCTGTGTATTAAAGACAACGACATTAGACATAAATTATCGCTAACGCTGTAAGCATTTTTGTTACTTAATTGAGTTTTTGAAAAGGCGAAATGAGAAAATTTTTCCTTCATGCTGTATTATGAAAATTTCATTAACTCTCCCCGCAAAAGTACGGCGTATTTCCTTTTCTGAATTGATGATAGAACTTATAATGCACGGAAATGAAAGAAGGTAGATTTAATGAATGTGTAGATGTTGGTAGGTTTATGCACATGATGTGCGTATGATTCTTTTTGATTATTAGATGGTTTTACCAAGGGAGGGGAGTTTTTAGGTTGTATGCAGACATCAGACACATTCCAGAAAGCTGAAATATCCTCAAAATATTTCTCATTATGATTCTTTTAGGCCACACTCATAGACTTAGGTTTTTTAGGTTTATTCCTATTAGGAGCTCCCATCTTAGATGACAATCCCAAACACCATCACAGTATATTTCCAAACCACGATAAAACTACCCATTAACGTCCTTCCATCTTTTCATACCTATTTTCACATGATGTAACACTTCAATAATCGAGACTTTATACCATCCATACATGCACATAATATAAAGCCAGTAATATCGTATGCCAAATGATATTTATCAACTCTTAATCTCATTACATCTAAATTACTTTGTTGTCGTTGCCACCGCAACTGCCTGGTGACTTACTTGTTGTTATTGTTCTTTACACACTCTTTTATGCACGAAACACATAATTTCTCATCATCTTTCATACATATTATGCTATATGATGCTTCCGTATCCCTTTACAGCAGATACGAAATAAAAATGCAAAGACGAAGAAGCGAGTTCCATCGAAAGTATCAATTTAATTTATGAACTTTACATGGTCGTTTTTGCTCGCTGTTTAACACAATTTGTGGCACCACGGAAAAGCTTTTATGCCATTGACTCTTTCTGCAGCGGTTTTCTGGAACAAACAACAACAACAGAATTGGCGATAAATTAAAATATAAATTTTTTTTAATCGGAAAATTGTCGAAAAAATTTATAGGCAGGCATAATATTTTCTCTGAACGCTCACGTTTCACTTTATTCAATGCAGATGATTAATTAAAAAAATATTTTTGGTTATTTTTATTATTTTCATCGTTCATCGGCTCAAAATAATTTGTTTGTGAAACGCATTGATATTTCATTCGAAGTTGGGATGGAAGGGATTGAGATTTTGAAGGTGATGAAGGCGTTTTTGTGATTTTTCTGGAGGTCTAAGATTAGATCTAAGAGGTTTAAGGTGCTTTTTGAAAAAAATTCATTAGGGGTAGTTCACTTATGACGTCCGATACTAACGGTCATTTTTCAAAAATGAAAGGAATTCCAGGAAATTGTTCTTTTCTTCCTGACCCCCCCCCCCCCTCCCAAGGATAGGGATGCTTAATATTTAATATTTAATAGTGAAACGACCAATAAGGTGATTAAGCTGCAATGGCACAGGTTTCCTAGAACATTTGATGTCAATGTTGATGCTGCTTAGTAAATTTTGATACTAAACTCAGCTGGACACCCTAAAAAATCCCAAAACACATTTACATTATCAATTTAATAATGCTTATCAAATATAATTAGACAAAATGCACCAAAATAAACAATTTCCCCTGCATCCGTTGCTTAAAGCTTGAAATAATTTTTAATCGGATTTTTTTTTTCAACATTCAGAATTCAATTGGGATGAATTGGAATGATATGATATGATAATGTGAATATTATTGTATATTTATTTTAACGATATTATTTTTTGCATTATATTTGCTCTCATCATCATTGACCGGTCTTTTGAGTGATTATGGATCATTGCCTTGAGCGGTAATAAAATTAATTACTTTTCATTGTCAGTTTGATTTTATTTTGTCTGGTTTTGTTGCAAAATTTTATCAACTCAATTTTTCAATCAATTTTTATCCTGATTAATACATAAATGTATGATTAAAGGCTTAATGAGGATTGCTGTATATCACCTTTGGAATTTAATTCTGATTGTTATTTTAATGGTTAAAATGTGGCAAATTTAAACCTTTTTTTCTGGGTACTTAAAGATGAATGAGAATTTTTGAATAATTCAAAGCTTGAAGCTGCTGATCAGTCAATAATAGTATCTAAGAACATCATTAGGTTAAGGTAAGGTTTGCCCTTGACAAAAATGAAGACAATTTCTCTGTAAATTGACGTTTTTAATTGGAACCTTTCCATAATCCTATAAAATGAGATGAAAACATTGTCAATGATAAGCAACAATAAGTGTTTGCTGTTTTCATAAAAAAAAAAGTGAACATGAAGTGTATTTTAATTTTGCCTATAGACACGAAAATAAAGAGCTTTTGTATGTGTGTTGATTTCTTTTTGAAAGATTATAAACTCTCATATAATATGTTTAAGCACATGAATATCCTTATGTGTGTACGAGCCCATGGAGGAAGCACTTGATGGCAATGGAAACGATAGTGTAGAGTAATATTTTCAAGTAAAAAAAAAAATGATGGGATTAAGTATGCATTCATATGTTATCTGTCGTTATTCCATCGTTGTCGAGTGTTTCGTATATTCATATATGGTAAGGTTTTATTGCCGGTAGCAAAATGATGAAATGTATTGCATATGTTTATCTCCTTCATATTCTGTAAAAAGGAGCAAGATACATGCAGATATAATGAGTCGCTTCCTTCCTGAATGATTATTATTATGATGATGATTATGATATAAAACACACGTCATTCTTCATTCTGCCTTTTTTTCTTTCCTTGTCGCATCCTTTTGAGGATAAAAAGCAAAAAAAATTCATTTTCTTGTTTCTTTTGGTTTTTTTAGACAAACATGTCATGTTCCATTCAAATCATAACTTGACAGATGTGACATCTTTTACAATCAAATAAGCATTTTCTACCGTACCTTCCACCATCTTGTTTCTCTTCTTTATTTATTTATTTTTATGGAAATTTCTTTATATGATCTGCAAAAAGAAGACGAAAATCCCTTTAAGGGTTGACAGCGGTTATGAAATATTGCTTTAGACTACTGATTTGAAATAATACGACAAAATATAAAAATGTCGCTGGCAGCTTTTTCTCCTTTGTAAGCTTAAAATGAAGGAAACAATTTAGGGAAGCGTTCTTTGCTTGATTTTCGACCACGATTCCAATTTTAAAATCAATTCTCTCAACGATTTGAGAAGTCATCAACCAAAGTATTATACAAGATTCATTCAAACGCAGATGATAAGTGTGAGCTGTTATCACTGATTTATTTCACGCTGTTCATTTTATGAGTCACAGGAGTGTAGCCAGTGCATTATTGGAGCCCCTTCGACGTAAGAAAAATTTCCTCAATTCAACAGGCTTCATTAAGAAACCGAGTCATTCAAAAACAATTCTTCACCTACCTCCCTTTCTGGTTACACCCCTGTGTGAGCATCTTTATTTGTATTATGATTTAAATTGAATTTGATTCTTTATTTTATTTACTGTACATCAGAGCCGTAGCTTTTGGATTTTTATTCTCTCAAAAACTTTAGAAAATCGAAGAAGTTTTCGGTGAGTCATTTGTCTTCTAAATCTCTTCAGACTACGCTTCTAATATACTTATAAATATAACAAAATATTCGCTCTTTTTTTGAATAAATTCCGTCGTGATAGGCTGCAAATTTACTTATTGTGATTTTTTGATTTTAAGAAATGGTAAAGTTAATTAATTTCGCAATACTTTTGAGCATAATTGTTGCAATTAATGCAAGAACAATTAAAAAGACAAAATTATGTACCACTGATTTGGGTACAGAAGGAAAATGTGTGCCTATACACCTTTGTAATAATGGTAAAATTGTAACAAATGGAGATGGTTCGATTGATCCTCGTTTTAGTGTTAGAATTGATCTAGAAATGGATATTAATAGTGAATGTGAGCATTATTTAGAGGAATGTTGCAGCTTGAACAAAGTTTTTGTAAGAATTCTCAATTTTCTTAAGGAACACGATCAAGTTTAACAGAAAATTTTTTGCAGCCTGGAAATCACACCTTAAAACCTAAGCTATATGCTGGACAGTGTGGGTTAAGAAATAATGACGGTATTGGATTCAGCGTTACTGAAAAAGATCTTGAAGCTCAGTATGGAGGTATGAATTGAAATTAGTGATTATTGTATTCAATCCAAATGATCAAGCTTATTTCTTTGAATTTGTAGAATTTCCATGGATGGTTGGGATATTACAAAGAGAACACAACATCTATATGTGTGGTGGAAGTTTAATTGCTGAGAATGTTGTCCTTACAGGTATTCAATTTGAATCTAGAATTTTTGTTTATTTATTTCTGGTATTTCCCAACTATAGCTGCTCACTGTCTAAATGAATCAAACTTAAATGACCTCTCAATCAGGGCTGGAGAATATGATACACAAACAATATTTGAATTATTCCCACATGTGGACTACGTAGTTAAGAAAGTTGTCATTCATGAAGCTTTCTATAGAAGAGCACTTCTCAATGATATCGCGCTTCTGTTTCTTGAGAAAAAAGCCAAAATGAGTGATGTTATTGGAACGATTTGTTTGCCTTCTCAAGATCAAGCTTATGATAACAAAAACTGTATTGCAACTGGATGGGGAAAAGATAAGTTTGGAAGAGAAGGATTATATCAATCTATCCTTAAGAAAATTGAACTTCCAACAGTTCCATTTGATGATTGTGAAGAGAAATTGAGAGAAACTCGATTAGGCGAGGACTTTGAATTAGATACTAGCTTTATGTGTGCTGGTGGAGATGAAGGCAAAGACACATGCAAAGGAGATGGTGGAAGTCCTTTAATTTGTCCTGTTGATGGACAAGTGAATCAATATTACCAAGCTGGAATTGTTGCATGGGGTAAGTACTTAATTTGATCAAAAATCTTTATTTTCATTTAATTAATTCTATTTTTAGGCATTGAATGTGGAAAGAAGGATGTTCCTGGCGTTTATATTAATGTTGCAAATTATCGTGACTGGATTGAAAAGCAAATAAAAATCAACGTGTAAGCATAATCAAAAGATCAATGAATAAAATATTAAAATTTCCCTAAACAAACAATAAAATAAATTGATAACATAAAAATGAGAGTAAAGTGTTATCTCTGGTAATTTTCCTTGTATTTTGTTTCGTCATAACTCTATTTAAATATAAATAAACAATTTTATACAATTTTAAAATCAGTTGTCTGTCGACTGTGCATGAAAAAGTATTGAAAATATCATTTAAAGTCGCACATTAATTTCTAAAAAAAAATTTAAAAGTAGAGTGTTTTTAGATTAATCATTAATACAACTTCCTTATCTCAAATAATGGCTAAATTGATCTATTTTACAATAATTTTGAGCATTTTTGTCGCAATCATCACAGGAGCTACTAGCAAACGTAAATTATGCACTACTTTCGATGGCATGGATGGGAAATGCGTCCCACTTGCCAACTGCATAAATGGAACAATTGTTAAAAATGGCTTTGGCATGATTGATCCTCGTTTCCATAAAGATGTTGATTTACGTGAAAATACAAATGGACAGTGTGAAGATTATTTAGAAGAATGTTGCCGTTTAAATACAATTAGTCCGATTTCTACAATAATTCCTAATGAACAAGTAACAGAATGTGGAATAAGAAATGGAGATGGAGTTGGAGTCAGAATTACAGGAGCCAGTGATGGTGAAGCCGAGTATGGTGAATTCCCATGGATGGTGGCACTTCTTCAAATAGAATCTGGTCAAATTATGTATTTATGCGGTGGAAGTTTAATTGCTCAGAATGTTGTCCTTACAGGTAAAATACTAGATGATTCATTTAATTCTGCTGACGTTAATATGAAATTTTTTATTTATTTCTCGTATTTCCCAACTATAGCTGCTCACTGTCTGAATGAATCGAACTTAAATGACCTCTTAATTAGAGCTGGAGAATATGATACACAAACAACAGATGAGTTATTCCCACATGTGGACTATAAAGTTAAAAATGTTGTGATTCATGAAAATTTCAATAGACCAGTGCTTCTTAATGACATCGCGCTTCTTTTTCTTGAGGAAAAAGCCATTATGAATGATATTGTTCAAACAATTTGCTTACCATCACAAGATCAAGCTTTTGACAGCAAAAGTTGTATTGCAACTGGATGGGGAAAAGATAAGTTTGGAAGAGAAGGATTATATCAATCTATTCCTAAGAAAATTGAACTTCCAACAGTTCCATTCAGCGATTGTGAAGAGAAATTGAGAGAAACCCGATTGGGCGAAGACTTTGAATTAGATACTAGCTTCATCTGTGCTGGTGGAGATGAAGGCAAAGATGCATGTAAAGGTGATGGTGGAAGTCCTTTGGTATGTCCAATCAATGGACAAGTGAATCAATATTATCAAGCTGGAATTGTGGCATGGGGCAAGGACTTAATTTGATCAAAAATCTTTATTTTTATTTAATTAATTCTATTTTTAGGCATTGAATGTGGAATGAAGGATGTTCCTGGTGTTTATGTTAATGTTGCAAGATATCGTGACTGGATTGATGAACAAATACAAATAAATTCTTAAGAAAGTGTTAAAAACTAGCTGTATCATTAGAATAAGATGACTAAGCACAATAATTTGTAATTTCTTTATTTTAAGCATATGCTTTTCAAAGAATAAAATTCTATTATTCAATATATTTCCCCACTGTCTATAATCTCATAAGATTTCGATATTTATCATTTTTCATCAGCACTTCTTCTATTATTCTACTTCCAATTTCATCTCTTCTTTTAATTTTTAATAAATTTTTATAGCTTCGTTGTCTATTCAATGAATTGCTCAATTTTACTTTGATGAAATTTCATGAAATTGCTGTATAAAGCAAGGCTTAACAACTGTTTAACACATTCTTTGCATTGAAGTGAGGTTAAAATGTAAACAATTGTTGAACCACTGAGCGTTAATACTTAAGTCACGATCAACATAATAAAACTATTAACGTAGAACTTTAGTTGATTAGCCTTGCCGTCAACTAAAGTGTTGAAAGATGGAACTAAGAAAATATTTACAGTACCAACCGAAAGAAGCACAAACATCGTTGAAGTAAGACAAAAATGAAGAAGTTTCTCGCATCATCGAAAAATGAAAAGATAGAAAGAGCTGAAGCAATATTCCTTTCCATTTGTATGTGAACTTCTTTCTCATATTCCATAAAATAGAGAATAGCATTAAAGGGTTCTTCATTTTCTTCGAAGAAAACACACACAAGACTTATAAAATATTTATTCTCAACTTATTCTTTGGAAGTGAAAAAATTCCTTTTGTAAATTTCATCAGCATTCATAGATGGAAAAGAAATAGAAATGAACTAGATGCGCTCAATTTCTATATTCCTCCCTTTCTTCTTCTTTTGCCATTCAATTTGTTTTTCCTTCTTTTATAAAGAATGCGATATAAATTTGCTTCAATATGGATAGTTATATCCTTTTTTTGTGGAAATCTTGTTGCATAGACGTAATACTAATATCACTTTGAGTCACTATAGTGAATCTCCTAGATTTTGACTTCTTTTAATAAATTTATCCAAAAAGCACATCATGCTAAAGATCGTCAGAGTTTAGCATCAATCCAGCCAGTTTTGATGATCAACATCAGTTTTATGTCATTTATCATGCGAAAATTAAATCCAAACTGCGCTTTAGCCACTAATTCATTAATTCTTAAACTTCATCCTGCATCTTTTGATGCACATGCAAGTAAATATTACATATTGCAGTATATCGACAAGACGAAATCGTGTGAGTGAGATGAAGATGATCAATATTGTATAAAATGCAGTTGTTATCTCTGATGCACAATGAAACATTTATTTTGAAGCTTTATTGGATTCCTTCTTCTTCATTCCATTCTTTTTATTATCTCACATTGATTTAAAATTCACTCAAATGCTCAAGCATGTCTTGTTGTATAAATTTCAAAAAAAAAAAATTCTTATTGAATAAATTGGAATTCATTTATTTCCTCTCATTTCATAATCATTGACGATTTTTATTCCCGGTTCTGTTTCTTGTCGATTGTTGTTATGTAATGCAATTTCTCAATTGAATATAAATCTCCACTACTTAATGATAATGGGTAGGAAATGAGAATTTCTTTTGTTAAGTACGTCATTAAATATTGAATAATATCGAATAAATAAGAAAATGTCATGCAAATAAAAGGAACTTCTTGACATTTTCCTGAATTAATGAGACGTCCTTAATAACTCATCTAGCTTGAATGAATTGAAAATTCTTTTCCATGTCTTAATAAATTTATTCATTCAAATTCAATACATTTTATAAATTATTGTGGGCGTATGAAGATTTTATAATGAACATGTCGAATTTGCAGGTAGAAAATTTTAATTTCAGATTTTTTATAAATATTTGAATTTTATTCGCTGTTCTTGATGGATCTTTGTTCGAATTTATTGTATAATGATGTGCTCGAATTAATTATATTTTAGGTACTTGGATATTTTGATTTTATTGAAATAAAATTTGAATTAATTTTAATTTTTGATATTTTTGTGAAGAAAATTGTCGTAGCTTTTTGAAAAAAGTTATGTAACATATGAACTGGAGGTGCTTAGCATTTTTATAGAGCTGACTTTCACTATTAAGTAATTATTTACTTCTATAATGGCAATTACTTTTGGAAAGCTAGGTTTGCTGATGCTTATCATTAAGTTCTTTTATTAAGCATTAGGAGTTCTCTTTTAAGAAACAAATCAGCTCATTACTAAAGAATCTCTTTCTCCTTCCCGTCACAAATAGTGAACAAGTTTTTAAGAGACTTTAAAGAATCTTGAAAGCGTGATTTCAATTTTTTAAATTGACTCTTGCTTTTAAATCTTTTTACCCCAAGTTTGCTGTTTTTGAGTCTTAATTACATACTTTTTTTGATGAAAAGTTGTTCAGGCTAAGGAATAAGACCTCAATAATCATCATTCAGCAGCAATTAACCAAACAAATCTGAAAAAAACGAGTCTTAAGTTGATAATAAAAAATTCAAGGATTTCAATTTTGTTCCTATTTTATTTCTATTTATTTAAATATCATAATTTTTATAAATACAACAACAAACCTAGCCTAACCTAACATAACCTTAAAAATCTACAAACATGAATTTATTTATGACTTTTCCCTAATATTTTTTCATTCTTTCTATATCCTCCCACATGTCTCCATCTCCCCGAGTAAATTTCTCTTTCTAGATGCATTCATGGAAAGATCCTCGGGTTCTGTTTGCTCTGGCATCTCAACTGACGTCTGATACTGCTCTACTCTCGAATAATATTCAAAATTTGTTTGCTTTTTTAATGAAATTTCATAACAATTTTCATTTCTCATAATTTTTTCATCACACATCTTCTCTTTCTCGTCGTGTGTCTTCATATGACGTCTCAAATTTGCTACTTGTACAAATTGTCTATTGCAATTACGGAATGTACAGGAATAAGGACGTTCACCGGAATGCAAACGCATATGAACTTTCAAATGATGATCACGACGAAATCTCTTGTTGCATACTGTACAGATGTACATTTTTTCACCCGTATGAATTTTCTCGTGATTCTGTAGCACGTGCTTGTATCCAAATGTCTTGTCGCAGACTTTACATGCAAAAACTTTTGCTTTTGGATGATCTTTCTTGTGCTCTGAACTTTCAATTGAATCACTCGAATGTGAGGGACTTGAAATTGGTGTAGATGTTGATGTGTAGCTCATGTTCTTCTTATTCATTACATTTTCTTTCATCTCGTTGTGATTCTCAATTAAATAATTGTTGTTATTGCTGTGATTCATTTTCTCCTGACTGTGATTTAAAATTGGTGAAATTATTGGCTTTGTTTCGAATGGAACTGGTTGCATTAATGGCCATCCGTTAAATAATGGTGGTGGATATGGGATTCCATGAAATTGCCATGCTGATAACAGTGCAGCAGTTTGATGTGCGATGATTTGTTGAGGATTAAAGAGACTCATTGTGGATGTTTGATTAAAATAATTGTAGAACTGATGATCAACTGCTGGATCTCGATCACAATATTTATCCTTAGTATTTTTCTGTTGGATGTCTTGCAAAATTGTTGATGTCATTTTTTTAATCTCGATTATTATTAATTTTTTTTTTCTTAAAGGCACTTCTGAACACTTCAAGGAATGGACAAAGACTGACTTAGTTTCACTTTTGTGTCCTAGTTTATAATTTATTGGCACAAGAGATATTTTTACATAATTTGCTTATGTATTTGTCATTTTTATTGCATCTTGAAGGAGAAATGGCAATAAAATTTGCAGCAACTAGGAATCTATGTACTATTCAAAGACATGTGAAAGGAGGAATTTGCAAAAAAGGCAATTGTTGGTCGAGCAAAAAAACTATATAGTTTTTTAGCCTGACTTAAAAATTGTCTCATTTTTATTGCCATAGAATTATTGCGTGATTGCTGTTGAGCAAATATTATTCTTGGAATTTTATGTTATATAAATGAGGGTAAATAGTGAGCTTATGGTAGCAATAACAGTATGTGGCTTATAAACTAGAAGACTTCTTCTGACATTTTGTGACTTGGAGCTAATTTAAGGTATCATGTTACATTTTAATGAGGAATTATAATATCAAATGTTGCATGATAATTGGAAAATCATTTTAATTAATTAATTGAAGCTTAAGGGATTTCTTGGGAATTTGTCAAATCTCTAAGCAATTAGAATTTAAGTTCATTACGCAGTTTGAAGATTTTTTGGAATTCAAACTGATAAGAATTAAGCAAGGACTGAAGAAATTGGTAGAAAATTCTGTGTCAACACGATTCAGAAACCAGTTCAATCGCTTTTGTCATCGCCTTACCATTGCAGTGACTTAATTGGAGTTAGTGTAATGTTTAAGGTATAAGGTCGCAGGTTCCAAACCTGCTATTTAAAAATTTATATCGACTAAACAAGAATTATTCCGCAGGAGAATGTTGACAATCTAGAAAATTCTTAAAAGCAATAAAGCATTCATGTTCAATAAACCACAACAACTCTTCAGTCTTATGAAATAAAAAGGCTATCAACTAGAACTAATTTTCATTCAAAAGTCAATAAAAGACCACCTGAATGATAGAACTAAATGTCCACTTTCATAATCCAGTTTTAATTCATAGAAAAACAGAAAACCACATAAAATAGCAATAAAATAAAAAAATTTTAGAGAGGGATTAAGGCAGATTACTGATCACTTTGCAATACCCAAAATAGAACCATCCCATTGTCCATCTAATTAAGCAGAAAAGAGTCTTGCTGTGATTATAGACTTAAAGGATTGTTACAATTTTTTCCAAATTTCTAGATCTACTTTTTCTCGAGCAAATAAGCAGCGCAGGTAGATGAATTATTTTTCTTGTCCATCTGAATAGATTACAGGTCGGGAACGGCCTCTGTCTTACGTCATAAAACAATTAATGCAATAAATTTTGCTTTTTGCCGTAAAAACAAACCATAAAATGTGGCACAAATATTTTTTTGCATTAAAAAATAAAATTTTGTTCTGAAGGTAAAAAAAGGAATGCAGTTTGACATGACTTTTATGAATATTGGAGCAATTTTTGTGCCTTTGCAGGAAAAAAGGATAATGACTAAAAGATTTTTTTTTGGTGTCTTGTCATTTTTTTATGGGTTTTTGCAAATAAAATGAAGTAATTGGTTCAATAACGTCACTGAAACTTTTCGATTTTCAGAGCGAAATTTCCCATTTATTGGATGACATATAGACACTGAAAAGTTAAAGAAGGTGGAGGAAAGTTCCTTTCAAGGATACAACCAAAAAAAAATATTATGTGAATCGTCGGTTCATTCCCAATAATATGCAAATTACATCACAAGAGAGAAAAAATAAGTTCCTTCAAGGTCTGGTACCTGAACATTAATTGGATCATTTATGTATCTCATCTACTTCGGGGTGGGTTTGTTTTCAGTTTTGATAATTTTTCCTATTGTAAAAAGGATTGCTTGACAAAAGAAAGTGTTGTAAAAACAGCATGACAAAAATTTCACTTTTATTGTCGTTCTTGTTGGTTCTTTCTTTGCTCTTCTTGCAGTACTAACGGCACTTTTACGTGTTTTTTTGTTTTTGGTAACTTATTACATTACGAAGATGAAATTAAAGGCAATGAAAAAGATTTTTGGAGGCGGTTTGTTGTCATTTCTTTAAAATTAGGAATTTTATAGAAATTATTTTATTAGAGCAATTTTTTTGAATAATTTTGTTGCATCCTTTGTGACTTAAAGGGGACAAGAGGCTTCATTTGAGTGATGGATGAATTTTGCAGCAAAATCAATAAAATCGTATCTTATTAATTTCACATTTATTCCACAAATATTTTCTCACAGGAAGGAAGTACAGATAAACCCTCAATTAATTCCGTATAAACAAAAACAATGATAAGAGAATCCAATTAATTATCACTCTTAAAAGTCAATGAAGTCATAAATTCCAATAGAACCTGATATCTAATCTAAGAAGAAAGAGGAACTCTATATCAACGTATTGTTGAATAATGATTCATTTGCGAATTTAATTGTTAAAGCTCATCGCAATTCGTTAAAAACACACGAGTTCTTATAGTTTTCTTTATCAATTTTAGTGCTTAGAGTCGTAAAATGATAACAGCACGAATTGTTTATAAACTCAAACCTTTGTTTTGTTTTAAGCATTCCAATCAAAACTGTCTCAAAAGTGAAAGGTACCAAAAATTATCAATCAACAATAATGGATAGTAAGGAACCAAAAAAATTCTTAAATCATAAAATCATTAACATATAATTAATTACAGCATGGATCCCATACTCATCAAGCATTGATCGTTCATCCTTGGTTTTTGTCGGAACTGACTATGATGGATCACCAATGTATGTTGGTCGTGCTCATCATTCAGGAGATTTAATTCCTGGAAAATTACTTTCAAGCACTCATCGCTGTCATGTTCCATACGATGGACATGAATTTTCACTTGAAATTTCTGAAGTGCTTTTCAACAACAACAACAACTACGCTTGGGTAGCCAGCTCAAATGGAAATATTCCACCAAATGCTGTTCCAGGTGGTCAAACATCAAGCGGAGAAATTTTATATGTTGGACGTGCAACGCATAATGGACTTGTAACTCCTGGAAAAATTCATCCATCACATCGATGCTTGTATTTGCCATTTGGATGGAAGGAACATAGCTATTCAAACTATGAAGTTCTTGTTAAACAATCGCATAACTGTGTTCCTCCTCCAATTGCTGTATGTCCACCAATTCATCCTCCATTTTTTCCACCAAAAAATCCACCTTGCAATTGTCATAATAGACCACATCATGGTAACCCATTATGTCATTGTAGACCAGTAAGTCCTTCTCCAATTGCTGTGTGTCCCCCACCGATTCAACTTCCTGTCTGTCCACCATTTAGACCAAATCATCATCATGGTCATCACGGACATAAACATAGAAAGTGCTAGTTTACGTGAATAAACTGTTTTTAATTTTTAAACGACAATGACCAAATTTGAGATACCCAAATAAAATATTAATCTACTTAAAATCAACGCTTTCCTTTTGCCTAAATTACTCAGAAACAAAATGTCCTCGAAGTCTTTCATTTATTGCTGTAATTACTTCAAGACAACAAAAGAATATTGAATGATTAATCATTGACTGAATTTTCAAAATCAGCAGTATTCTTGATGAGTCATTAATAGCGTCATACATAGTTCACGGTTGTATACGTTATCTCGCAATAGAAGTGGACCCATTAAGGGGGCATTCACTTATTACGTAACGCTTTTAGGGGGAGGGGGGGTCTAAGATTTTGTTACGGTTCAAACAAGGAAATTTTTTTTTCATACAAATTTTGTTACGCGGGGGGGGGGGGGGGGGTCTAAGAAGTCATTTTTTCGCGTTACGTAATAAGTGAACAGCCTCTAAGATAACGTAGTGAAATAAATGACATCATTATTAATCTTTGTTTATAGAAAAAGTTGAAAAATTATAGAATTAAGAGTTTTAGTGCAGCGCACTAAAGCATATGATTGTATAAGAAACCTAGACCATATTCGAAATCAATTTTTGACCAACTATACTCATAAGGTTGTGTTTTGGACACTTCAAATCCAATTCTTTAATATCTTGAACATTTCAGAGCTAAATTGATGTACACATAAACATCCAGACAAAATAATAATAAAAGAGTCATTATGGATTTAAGCTTCAAATCAATTGTGCCACGCTTACTAAAGAAATTTGATTAGTGTTGGTTATCATCGCGTTAAAATACACATTCAATTAAATCTACAAGTTTAAAAAGAGTGAAACAAGTAAACAAATTATTCATTACACTTCAAGCCGTCAAAGGAGTAAAGCTGATTTTAAAATATACCAGAAACACAAAAAAATAAACATTACATGATGGGTAAGAAGCAAATATTAACAAGCCTAATAATTGAGTAATCAAATAAATTAAAATTTTAGGTCACTGTAATTGTAAACAACGAGGAGTTCCATGCTATTGTAATTCAAACCATCATCAGCCACATCATCCAATCCATCCACCTGCACATCCAATTCATCCAATTCATCCACCTGTACATCCAATTCATCCTCCATCATATCCAGTTCATCCAGTACAACCAATTTATCCACCAGTTTATCAGCCTGTCCATACACCAATTCAACAGCCAATGTATCCACCATCAGTTGGAGTTGTCGTTACTCCTGGGTTCCCTGGACATGGCCCACATCATCATCATCACGGACCGACTCATCATCATGGATCCCATCATGGTCATGGTCATCATGGTCACAATCATGGACATGGACATAGACATTGATGATTAATGTGAAATTTTATTAATGCAATATGACGTTTTTTTTATATATGCTTTATCAAAATTGCTAAGTACTTATATCGAATCGAACTCATTGTCAAGATTGATAATTATTTTACTACTTAATGTATGACTAATAAGAGATTCTTATAATAAATAAATTTTCATTTCAATTGAATTGATTTAATACTTTACTAAGAGTTCTGAAGACATTCAAAATGTAGAGTTGATTCAGGACCTTATTTAATAGATGTCCAATACTTCACGATCCCCTCAAAAATATAAATAAAAGAGAAAAAAAAGCATAAGCTAATTTTGAAAAGTTATGATTAATTTTTAAACGATGATCTTCCTTGTTTCTTGTGGATCTCAAGTCAAATGTTTATGAACGAAGGAAAAAAATTATTTATGTGGCTCATTGTTTTCATGATAAATAATAAAAACAACAATTATCTATTCTTATCTGTAAACTTACTAGTGTGTAACAGTTCATTTATACATCTATAAGGTGTTTTCGTACCTTTTAAGTTTTAAAAATAAATGAATGGATATAAATTAATCTTGAGATTAAAAAGGTTTTTTTGGAAATTATTTATGATGTCTAGACTCTAGAAGAATTGAGAACAAAATACTAGATTTAATGCTAAACTCCATCATTAATGTGATAAAAATCAAAAGTTGATTTTAAAAAATCATATTTATTTGTGAACATTATTTTTGATTGAGCCTTTCCTAAATTTGAGAAAATTTAAGAATTATTGCGAAATATTATAAAAGTGTTGAAAAAATACATTAAATTTCATCATAATCTGATTCTTGCTATTTTTAATGACCATTCATTCAAAACAAGACTTAACATCTTCTACAACTAATTTATCAATTTTTAACAAAGTTCCAAGACTCAAAGAACAGAATTAAAATAAAGAATTTCATATAAGCTATCATTATTTCATGAAATAGACGAAATGAACAGAAAACCAGATGATCAACTGTTTGTAAAAAGAGAATTCTCTTTTCATTCTTTTCATTTCTCGCGGTGTGTGAGAGAATACGCGATGTTTTCAAATGTATATAAACAGTCCAAACTACGTTGTTTGTGTCATTAAATTCAAAGATTTTGAATAAGCAAGAGCAACTTGAAGAGTTAAAGAATCAAACCAAATAATTAAAAATGGATGGTAAGAAATCAATATTACTGCAAATTCTATGAAAATCTCTAATTTAAAATTAATTCAGATTTCTCAGATTGGAGTGCGACTTCCCTTCCTAAAGAGGAGAAACCAGTCAAACAATTCACAGGCTTTTCGTTCTGTAAACGTCGTTTAGCTCATTTTTATGATAGATTGTCAGTTGATCAACAAAATCCACAATATCTTTATGCTAATAATCAGGAACTTTCAATTGAAGATCAACTTATTGATGCACAAAATCAATATTTGTCAAATCAATCAGAAAAGTCGCATCATAAGCATTGGCATCACAAATACTGGTCAAAAAAATGCAATAAAGGAAAGAATGAAGCTGTCAAAGAACCTGCTAAAGAAAGCAATTGAAATTTCATAGATTGGATATGAAATTGCATAAGATTTTAAAAACAAAATAGATTTTAAGTTTTTGCAAGCTACGCAATATGTTAAGTACCTGTAAGATGATGTAAATTAAGCATTAATATAATAATATTATTCAAAGGAAATAAATGGACACAAACATATAAGCAGTATTTATTTTAATTTCAAATTTCATAAAATCAACATCAGATTCCATCAGAATTGACATATTTTACACAATGTTCTTTATGCATAGTCACTTGGTTGACAAAATGGATCAATCTTTCACGAACAATTGGGAAAAGTATTGCCAACATTAGCTAGAACTCTAATTCTAATGATTGACTAAATCATATTTTTCTAGAATGTTCGTTCCAAAAATGAAATAATCTATTAAAGACAATCCAGACGCAAAAACATTTGCTAAAATTTTAAAAAAAAATCTCATTTCTCTGTTTCACATTCAGGCCCGGTAAAAATGAATGTGCAGGAACAAAATATGATAAAAAAACATAATCCTATTGATTTTGCTGCAACAATAAAGCATAAAAAAGTTGCATTCATTTAGGATAGTGATAATAAAAAAAGTTTTTTTTGGTGCATTTAACGAAATAAAAATAACAGACACAAAAAAATATAAGAATAGCTGTTGAAAGAGTCAACGTGGAATTTTAATGAATGGGATTTTTAGTGTTTTTAAGCTCACAAGTTTTGTGTTGAAATATTTTTTTTTTATCAGCTTTTCTCAAATAAATTTTAATTCTGTTTCATTTTCCTCTCGGCTATTGAATTTTCATATTTTTTGAATGTATTAAACTTTTTGTATTTTATATCAGGGCTAGGCATTCAATTTTTCTGATTTGAGAGTTTTAAACTTAATCAAACTTTATGTAAAGTGCATTGCTGTCTTATAAGCATAGCTCGAAGTCGACTTGAGATTTTTATGTATGGCAAAGTCGTACAAAGCTCCATACAAAATTTCATCGACTTCGAGCAATGCTTATAAGTTCCATTATACACTCGAAATTCTGATTTTGAAAAATTTTCAAAATTGAATTCCATTTTCCATCCTTTGACTCATTTAATATTTTAACCAAAAAAAGTTTTTAATCTCATTGTTCTAAATCTTACTAAATAGCGGAAACACACAATTGTTGCATAATATTGAATAAGCATGAAAAATTCAACGTTTAATTTATTCAATTTAGAAGTCATTGAAACTTTTCCTTATCTAGAAAAATTTTCCAGACTCATTTTAAACGGTGCTGCTAAGCATGCAGATGGAAAGGTGGAAGATTGAATGTGAAACAATATTTTGGAAGCAACCTTATCCAAAATATTTTTTTAACTTATCAAATTCTTAATTGAATGCTTTGAGCTATACAACTTGTAACGGGACTTGAATAGCTGTACCTTCCTTAATCGTCCCCTAAAACTAGCTCTATCGCTGGCTCCCGTCTGCCAATTTCCGATTCCAAATGCAACACTGTCTCAACTCTATCAACAGCCTCCCTTCATGAGTTCTTTGGCCTTCCACGTGATTTCTTTCCATCTTGAATCGATGGTTTCAAAAAGGAAAAGTTGTCACTTCTAAGTCATGAAACTTAAATCACAGATTGATAAGCTTCAAAACCTAGTTCACTAGATGTCACTCAATTAGATGTACCAAGCAACTACTCAAACCTTTAATTGTAGACATTCTGGAACCAATTTGCTCATTTTTACAACAAAACTTCACTGACAGTTCGAAAAAGCTGCTCGCGAACAGTTTTATTACATTAAGTTTAAGTATTTACTTAAAGTAAATATTTTTCTATATAAAAATTAACTGCTCCTGTTTATTCCGTTCTCACGATGAACAGAACGTCTTCACTTTCCTCTTGAGGAAAAGTTTTTTAATATAATGATTTTTCTTCTTGTTTTCTTTTATATAAATATTATCATTAAACCATTTTCACGCTTCATTTTTTTGTTTCATTTCTCTCTTATTCTCATAAACAGCACAAAACTTTTTCATTCTTTAACCTTCATGCATTTAAATGAAATGATATAAATACATAGGATGAGAATAAGATGAAGTAAGGAAGTCTTAATTCGTAAAATTTTAAGAAAGAATGGAAAACTTTGCGCTAAAGTGAAATAAAACAATTCAATAATTCATAACAAAAGGAGGAGAAAATTTCTCAACAGATTTAAATTGAATAAGTTTCTTGTGAGAGAAAATTTGCAACAATTTTATTTTGCCTCTTTTTTTTTACTGACTTAAAACTTTGCCATCTTTTTTTTGTGTATTCGTTTATGCCTCACGCTATTATATCAATTTTTATATGTACGGATATAGCTTTATAGCCAACATTGTATTTAATTGATTTCTCATCAATTGTTCTTAGATTGACTTCATGATGCTTGTGGGTTAGATACTTCTCTTCCTACTTTCCCCAGTGTTGTCCAAAATGTGTGCCGTGGCACACTTCTGTGCCGTAGACTAGAGAAATGTTGATTTTTAAAGAAAAGTTTATAGTGTCGTGAAAAAATATCTAAAGTCCAAGTGTACCTTGGCTGAAAAAAGTTTGGACAGCACTGCCCTACCCCATTAAAACGCTCCTATGACCTCACTTCCTCATTACCAGAGTAACGTGTACATCCTTAGAAACTGTCGACCGCAATATAACAGAATGCGCTTTAAACCATTTAACATCAGTTTTCGATCATACCAGTCCAACCTTACTTATTCGCTTTCTTTATATGAAAATGAAAGTTGTATATCACAAGAGAGAGGGAGGAAGGAATCATAGAGGGATTTATAAGAAACTTTTTTTTTCTTTCTCACTTAGCTTTTGCGATGAACATAAATCTTTTGCTTTCGAATATAATTTACGAGAAAGTTCTTGCCCTGAACTCCCCCTTCAGATCCCTCGATTCTTTTTCTCATGAAGTGATTCTTTTCAATTAGATGCTCTTCGAGTTTGACTTGCACTAAAGCTCCTGTGTTGTATATTTATTGAAACTTGCCAAATTGATACAAATTGTTTATTTCGATTTATTGTGTTTTTCTTGTTGTTCGCGAAACTTTTTCTTGTTATTTGCGATTGCTCTATTAAGGAAGTTTGAGATGAAATAATTGCTTCTCATTTTTTATGGGAATTCAATTTTCTTTGAGTGAATTAAATTGAATAAATGAATATGTTCGATTGGATTACCTGTACTATATCCTTAATTGGCTATGTTCAATGGGATTATTGAGTACATTCACAGGGAACGGTTTAATAGATTCTATCATCTATTAGGATCGCAGTGCCTCAAGCTCGCTGCAACGTGAAGTAACACATTGACTGGCTGAAACTCTATCAAATTATTATTAATGGGATCATTGACTAGTGATGTTCTTGATTTAAGCTTATAAATAGCATTAAAAACATAACTTTAACCAGTCCAACGCCTACTTACAGAACATTTTCCCTGTCTTCCCTAAAACCTTAAAATTCCTGCAAACTTCATTAAAGCACCTTTAAAAATTCAACTCCAGAAAATACATAATGTAGAGCATGATGAGAATTACCTGCGTTATGTTGTTTCTTTTATTTACATGTAGACAAAATTCCCCTAGAGATTGTCCTTACAAGCAGCAAAAACATTTTTTTTCTTCACCCGCCTGTGTATCCTAATTAAAAATTCCCTCAAACTCAACACACTCGTCTCATTTGCATACTTTGAATTTTAATTTTACTTGTGTTAATAATATTTTTTTTTCTTCTACTCCTCCTACAGCAAACCTTACATTTTCCATGGTGAGTCAATGTGGTGCTTTGTTCACTTAAGGCTAAAGAAATGAAAATGTTTTAATTATATTATGTCGTAGTCAACTCAATTTCCATTGAAGAGAGTAATTAAAGGAAATTTTCATTTAAATAAATTTCGTTTGTGCTTTATTTACATAAAAAGAGAATTCAAAGACTAAAGAAGATCTTCTTACGGTATAGGATGTGGGCGACAAATATCCAAATAATACAGGTATAAATATTTTTTAATAAGTAAATGAAGTGGGTGTTCATGCGTTCGACATAAAAGTGGAATGGCCAATGTTTATCAAGAATTAGATGTCCGATGTAAATGAGGATTGCATTCATGCCTGGATATTGAAATATTGTCCAAAAATCATCACCAATCTCTTTCATATCAACGATGAAATAAATTAAAGCCAAGAGGAAAAATGAGGATGCTGATGTTGCTGTTACATAAGTCAATGACCATAAATTTTTATTTATAGGAATTGGTGCGTCTTCAATGCTACAGAGCGTGAGGATGAGAGTTAAGAAAGTGAGTCCCGTACCCCAAATTAACCATCGAATCAGTCTGTCTTTATGATCTTGATAAACCATTAAAATGACTCCACATTGTAGTCCCAAAAATGCATGGAATACTGTCGTCAATGATCCAAAAATTCCTTCTGGATCGAATCGTTGTGTAGCTTCATAAATTGATCTAATACTTGCCCATTGAAACATGTGGTTTTCAGTCAGTATTGCACGGTCTACAAAGCCAGTTACTCCACCAGTGCATAACGGATTTGTCATAAAATCATGAGTACCTCCCGGTCCAACATATCCTCGGTCACAGCCATCTAGTTTTATCCCAAAAACAATTCCTGTGTGTATTGCCACAATGCAAACCATTAATATCCATTCTTTCCATACTAATTTTAAGTCATCAAGAAGCTGCGGGGCTCTATATTCTGGATATTGAACGAAAGCAACATGAACCAAACTTACTAATAGATACGCAATTGCGAATCGTTGTAAAACATTCATGATTCGAACTTCTGAAAATGTCACACTTTGTGCAAACATGCAGAGTCCAATAAGGAACAGTAGAACTGAGCGCTATGGGGAGAAAATAGATGTAAAATGAATTATTAATTTTTTTAATGAATTTTCTCGGAAAATTTGTAAAAGTTGTCAATTCTATTTATAGCCACTAAGCATAGCAACAGTTATTACATCCCAAACTCACGGTTAATATCCTCTGAACAATTTTAATCGTTGCGATTTTTCTCATAAATTGGGATCTAATACTCATGGGAATACAAACACCCATGATGAATAAGAACCAAGGGAAAACAATGTCAGCCATAAGAAATCCATTCCAATCAGCATGACCCGTCCACCAATAATATCCGCCTCCATAATTGACGAAAATCATCAAAACCATCGAAATTCCTCTAAAAATATCTAAACTTTTTAATCTTTTTTTCGTCGTTTCTTCACTTCCAATAGCACTTTTTCTCCAGCGTGATAAGATAAAATGATTAATGCATTTGCACAGCCAGTAGAAAGCAACAGTAATCACGGCAATGACCAAAATAGCTGTAAGATTTTAAACATGATTTTTTTTCACGATAAGATAAATAATTTCACTTTCATACACCAATAAATTGGAACTGGTTCTAGTGCTACTTCAAAGCGGTTAGTTCCACTTGGATCTAGAATTAAATCATAGACTCCAAATTGACCCATTTTTGGCGTATCTTCCCAAACAAGTCCATCATTTGATTGATTTGGAAACACATGACTGCCGTGATGCTTGTCAAAAAGTTTCATTTCAATTGGTCGTGCTGTATTGACAACCAATACCGTATCACTGTTTGCTGTAACATTACTCAAATGTCTAAATGGACAACGAACACAATTTGATGCCAAACTGTATAAAAAATAATCCGCTTCACGTCCATTACTGACATTAAAGTACGCTCGATCCACCCACAAACTCCACAAATTTAAATCACGGAAATATTCGTCCGTACGTTCAAGCCACGACATTTTCAATAACTGAATGTCTTTTTTTATAATAGCAATTAAATGTTTTTGATCCGATAAGATAAGAAGAATGAAAAGTGTGCTGTATTGATATGATATGCTTTTGTGTACATTTGAGTGGTAATCTCTGCAGATTATCAATTAGATAAATAGACTGCTGTAAAGTCCATTAGATTTGAGTGCAGCTGCAGTTTTATTGAACATTTCATGACGCAAATAGGAGGTGTGGATATGAAGCTGCTTGTGAATTGATGGTGTCTGAGGGGCCAATAAGAACCAACTTAATAATGACTAACCTCCTTTTTAATCTCTCTAATTTCTATTTTATATTTTCCTCTACAAATTCAGCTACAGCGAGGAACTGCACAGTCGAGACTTTGACTTAAATATTTTATAGAATTCAGAAGCACTTCAACATTTCTAGTGAATTTAACATCCAATTTTCTCACTTAATAGTTTGTAGTTTGGTAAGTGGAACTGCAGATTAAGTTGTTCAATTTTATGTCACAATGAGGAAGATAAAAAGATAGAAACTTTTGTGATGCTTTTATAAGCTTCACTGCTTATGTTTTTTTTCCGAAATAAATAATCCATAAAGATAAAGTGCGATGGGATTCTGCTTGCAATCGGACATGAAAACACCTTTAAGTTAGGAATGTTACGAAAATGAAACAAATTTAAGTGTAAATGCATGGCATGTGTGTAATATTGTATGGAGTCTGGTCGACCCCGCCATATAAAATTGATGGAAATCTCTAGTCAACTTCGAGCTCTGGATTTAAACGAGAAATATTATATTTATAAAAAATTTCCAACTTTTAAGGATATTTCTTAAAATTTCGTCGCTTGTTTCAAGCAAGGATGAGATCAGTTGAGTTAACTGAAGAATTTAATTTCATTTATCGCATAAAGCTAGTTACTCAGCTAATCCGGATGACAGATTCAATCTATAAATCTAATACTTTGCCATTGTGTAAGTTTCATTCCAGTTTGTGCTAGTGTTATACCAAGTCTAGCTCTACGTTAGTCTAGTATTATAGATTTTTCTACTTGTTCTTTCTAAGTCCATCCAAGACTTAAGTCTTTCTAAAATTCAAATGCAGTTCCAAAATCCCTCAAAAATGGAACAATTCTCTTCGTCTATCTCACTTCTGCTTTTTTCACATCAACTCCTTAGTTTAAGTTGAATAAACCGTAAATTGCATGTTCAACAACCATTTTATGTGTGACAGTCTTATGAATGTCAATTTTGTTGTTTTTCTTGCTGCGACTGCTGTTTCTTCTTTTATAAATAAACATTTCAGTGTCTATTTAGACAGCAATATCATCATCATCAGCTGCACATCTAGTTCTTTTTTTTGTCACATCGTCATGTTCAATTTGCAGTTATTGATTTAGCCACAGTCTTTTTCAAGTCATACACTATGCATACATGTCTACAAATTCTAATATTAACAAAAAGCACTTCCAAAAACACACATTTTTCGTATTCCTCATCAGAAATTTGCGGTTTATTGTACTAATGAAATTCTAATTTAATTGTATGCTCGATTCAAGCATCATCATTTTGTGCAAGACTTTTTCCCCATAACAGTCGTGTGTGATTGCGAAATATGTATATCATCAAATAACGAAAATTGAGAGTCACTTTTGTGGGTGGGTTAAAAAGTGTGAAGAAAAAGTTTTATTGAGTGAAATGCACAATTTTTTGAATGAGGGTTAAAATGCCATTTTTTTTTGCTGTGAGTTGCTGCTTTGGTTTGAATTTTTAAGGCAATGATGCTTAAACTAGTGGAAGCAATTTTGAAGTTTTGTATGAAAATGTTTTTCCAAAAGTGGATTGTATGGCAGTAAATATTTCTATAGTCATTCAAGTGGAGTTCGGAAAATTTTGAATTGGTTGCTGCTGCTGGATTGAGTAATGCATTGTTTGACTGATCAAATTTGGTCTAGCTTGCAGCTGCAGTACATATAACGATTTGAAATATTGGATTGTAGTATTTTAATAAATTTCATCTAATTCTTGATGATCTTATTGATTAATCCAAAAACAGTCTAAGCCTTAAAAACTCATTCCATACCCTAACCAGATTGAGAGAAGAGAGCAAAAAGTTAGTCATCTTCAACTTGTATGTCTAAAATACACTTGATGAGAATAGAACTTTAGAAAAAGGAGAGGAATGAGGAATATGGAAAAACTAATTTAATTAATTTCAGAGTATATGAAAGCTCAAATGTGTTTGTAAGTTCTTCAATAATACATAAAAACTTTTCTTCCACACTAGCACTGAACCAGCAGTTTTGAGAGGGGGAATTTTGTTTTGAGAAAATTTAATTTCTCTTCCTGCACTTCCAAGTGTTCCTCATGTATGGATGAAAATAGTTTCTTCAACTAACATACTTAATGGTAATTGAGAAAATTCCATTTGCTATTTGCAAAAATAAATTAATTTTTTAGAATTGAAAACTTTTATTGTTTCAAAGTTCAGGAATTCTTTTCAATCTTAAATGAATTTCTTTGTTCACACATTTATAAAATTGAATTTTTTATGGCTGAGCGTAAAGTTCTTTTTGATGGCTTGAGATTTTTAAATAAATTAATTTTTATCGAGTTTTATTTTGAATTTGTTAATCAAATAACCCCAATGTCGACTAACCGAACCTCTAACTTAATAAATCTAGTCTATTCAACGCTTAATCATCATAAATCCATCAGTTCATGTTCATCACCTAATTGCATTATCGTCAATTGAAAGAATGCTTTACAGTTCATGATTTCATAGAAGCATCTACATTCCACACAATAAGCAGCATCATAACATCGCATCGACAAAGGAACGAGAATGAAAAGAATTAAAACGAGGAGAAGGCAACACGAGTCGTTGAAATGAATTGTAGTTGAAGTGAGAAGTTATTGTGGTAAAGTGCTCCTACAAAAAAGCTAATAAAGATGATACATAATCCACATAATGTGAAGAGAATGAAACTTGAACGCTAGCCAAACAAAAAAAAGAAGTTTTTTTCCTCGTTTTCTTTTCTGTCCTGTTGCTTGCTTCATTTTCTTTTCATTGCTGCAAAATTTCTTTTATTGTTCACATCCACATCCTATAAGGAGCGTAATTTAGTGCTTAATATTCCATGTTTGTTATGAAATTGTTTGCACATTCTTATTATTGTTATTACAAGTCTATTGACGTGTTGATTTTATCCCATCATACACAATTGAAGGATATGAATCATTAAAATGAATGGGGCTATTGTAACACATTTTAATTAATGTTGCATTCACAAATCATTTTCTTCTTTTATGGCAATTGATGAATGGATTTACACTATTGCTCATTGTGTCCTACATTATCATCCATTATTTTATGGAATTAATGAGAAATTTATTTTACATTTTTTGGTTTGCGAATTTATTGAGAATATTTTTGGATAGGCTGTTATTCACAATATTATTTTATTGAATGATGAGCTTTATCCATGCACTTTTAGAGCTTAAAATTAAAGTTGGAAAGACTGACACATGTTCAGGGTTAATGGCGCAAATGATCGAAGTTTCTTTCGTCCTTTACGCAGGGGTCGTACTTTTAGGGAGGATCCCTATTGCTGCTGATTTATTTGATCTATATCCAGTCAAATTATTTCTTTCCCAAATAGCAACAAAGCGTGATTCTACTCTAATTAAATATTAATGAATAGTTTGAAGAATCTGTCAATACTCTCCATATACTCTTAGTAATAGCCTCATTATGATTATTTAGATCTACCGTGACTAAAACCCAACAGAACAATATGCGATCCAGTGACTTTTATCACAAAAAATCAGCTCATATCTTTCTGCATAAATTTTTCCCACCCGAGTAATGATTCACACACAATTACTCCTATATTCGTCCTATAGGTATTTATTATTGATGAACTACAATGATAATTTCGCATGATTAAATCCATTGAACTTATATTATGTCCAATATTCACCATGTTCTACATCTACCTATTATATTATCTCCTCCTTCCTCGTTCAATTCATGAGCATAATAAATTTATGTTTGGTGCGGCTGATGATGCAGAAAAATGATCATCACTTGAATGAGGAAGTGAAAAGGAGCGAGGAACTGAAAAAAAGGGATGAAAGTTTTATGTGTGATGAACATACGCTCATAATCATATTGTACATATAAAATAAATTTAGGTCATGATATGAATTTTTGAAGAAATGATTTTAAAACATGGCACAGCAAATGCGCTTACATTACATTTGTGCTATGTAGGAGTATCATTATATTTCTCTCATGTATGCATGTAGGGAATATTTTTTCTCACTTCCATATGTATGGAATTATATACGTAACATCATGTAAGTAAGCACACACAAAAAAAGCTCACAATTGGGAAATATGAGACGAGTATGAGGCAAGATATGAAGTATTTTTAATAATTTATTATGTAAAAAGAAGAGTTCGTGGGGATTAAGTTGCTCCATTTTTTTCTTGTTCCTTCATTTTTCGGATTAAATTTCAAGTCAGAGCTTAAAAAATTTCTTCGCATTTCTGTTTAATTAAAATTAAAGGTGATTTTGAATTGGATGAATTTAAGGAGCATGAACCCTCCCAAGTGTCATCTCAATTTTTGTAGTCAAGGAGCAAGCAACTGGAACCAAAATCTTTTAATACATCACCATTTATACTTTGATCGCATCTCCAATCAATCATCATAACTTAATATTTTAATAGCCTTTCAACAAATCATACGATTTGACACTAAACAATTGAAGACCAACATACAGTCACAGTGATAAGGTTATCAACAAAAACAAACAAAAATGACTTAATCGAATCAATAAACTTTACATTCTCAGATTTTATTGATGCACTAATCCACGGTTTTATGTTAAAAATGCAAAAATTGTTACAATCTGACAAGAAGTGTCGATCAACTTATTAAGCATGTAATAAAACTTTATTTAACTATTCACAAAAGTCTTCTTATCAAGAAATTCAAGCAGTAAATTCCTCTCAGCAACTCTTTTTGTTTCCTCAATTCCGACAAGATTTTCAGCAATTTTCAATGCAAAATTCCAAACAGTTCCCGGACCTCTCGATGTAATGATATTTCCATCTTGTACAATTGGTTCTTCCACATAATCATATTTTTCCGAAAGTGATTCCTTCCCAAGCGGATATGATGTTATTTTTCGCCCAAAGCCAATTCCATTTGCATGTAAAACTGTCGGTCCCAAGCAAATTGCGGCAATTAATTTTCCTTTATCGTGATGATGCTTTAAAATGTCACCGACAAGCTCGCATTGCGACATGTTTGGCGAACCTGTCAGTCCACCTGGAAGAATTATTGCATCATAAGCATCCTTATTGACACTTTTGAGAGCAATGTCCGGTACAATCGAAATTCCATCGCATGCTTTTACAGGTTCATTGCCATGAATTGATGCAATTGTTACTTCCACCTAGAAAATCGAATTAAATTTAACGTTATTTGATAAGATTAGAACTTTGTTCCGTTAACTTACACCGCATCCTCTTAAAATATCTGCAGGCGCTACAATTTCAACAGTTTCCGAACCGGTAGCTATTATCACTAATACTTTCTTCGTGCTCATCGTTGTTCCTGTTTGTATTTTTTTGGAAGGAAAATAAGATTGTTAAACGATTGATGCCTATACAAAGAATGAATGTTACAAGCTTTACTACAAATGTATGAGAATTATCTTTGCAGTTAAGTGGCTTGATAAGGAGAACGAGTGGAGAATAATATAACAATAAAGAGAATTTTTTGAGAGATTTAAAGGTGAGAATTGAGTTTGAAATTTTTGTAGAGTATTTTATACTCAATTTAGATGCTCAATTGATGAAATTAGATTTAATAACGACTAAGGTTGTCCCAATAAAAATTAAAAATTTTAATTAACTTTCAAATTATTTTTTCGAGAAGAAATCCTTGAATATTCAGCCTTATCAATATGTTAATCATCATGACATGTGAAACCTTAAATTTAATTTATTCTATTTATAGCATAGGGTTCGTTCACTTATTACGTAACGCACTAGGGGGGAGGGGGGGTCTAAGATTTTGTTACGCTTTGTTACAGGTGGGGGGGGGGGTCTAAAAACTCGTTTTTTTGCGTTACATAATAAGTGAACGAGCCCATATAGGATCAAAGGAACTATAATTCGTATAAAACTTCCATTTTCTCTGGGGGTCGTTCACTTATGACGTCCATCAAAAAACCTGATTTTTTAGACTTCCCTCCCCCCCTCTGTCACAAAAATTCTATAGAAAAAAATTTCCATTTAGTTTGAACTGTCACAAAATCCTAGACTCCCTCCATAAATGTCGGACGTCATAAGTGAACGGCCCCTTGCAAAACTTTCTCCTCAAATCTTTAAAACTTCACATTGTCATTCTGATTTCTTGTTTTGATTTATTCATTTATATATCTTCTATGGTTATCATTTCCTTCTCCTTTATTCCTTTACATTACAATTTATAAGAAAAACTTTCTCGTTCTCAGATTTTTTTTCATGCAATTTAAAGTTTAACTTTTTATTATGTTTTGTTTCACATTTTCTTAACCTTCATTGTTTGTTGATGAGAGTCTTTTTGACTTTTAAGTTGGTAAGTAAAAGTTTTGCTTTATTTACTCCCAAGATAAATCTGGCTTATTTAATGTTGAAAAGATTTAAGGAAGTGTGTTACTGTAAACTGTAATTCTTGAAAATTGATGGTTTTAAGAAGTTTAAGATTGTTTTTAAAGGAGGTGATGAAAATAGCACTTGCAATGGTTTGCTTAGACCTAAACTGAGCTATATCTGCGGATTACAATACTCATGATTGGTTGATGCAATCAAGAGCCCACTAAAATCAAGAACTAAAGCTTAAAGTGGAGCCCGAAACAATTTCTTCATGACATTACTGCCAATAATCAAGACTAGATCAGTAATGATCAACTTTTGTGTCAAAGAAATTGTGACTATTCCCTTCCAACTAGGTGAGGAGGTTTGGGTTTTGTTGAATTACTTAAAACTGTTCAAAACATTCACATTTCAAAATTATCTTCTTATCAATCTAATTTTTAGGTTATTTTTCTCCTCACAAATTAATTCTTCCTATCTAAAAATATATCACAGAAAGATGAAAAATTACGCATCACATCAAGTTATGTGGGTAATCATGCTGTCAAAAATTATGAGAGAAAAGAAAAAGACGGAAAAATTTTCCAGTTGAATTGTTTGCCAAAAGGATTTTTCAGCATTAAGTGTGACTTTATGATTCTATCTGCCTGCATGTGGATAAAGAAAAAGAAAACGTTTCAATAGAACCAATTTTATGGTTTTCTGTGTTTGATTTACGAGGCTTTAATTGTGCTGAGACACAGAGAATGAGAAGAAGACATGAACAAAAAATTTTTTTATTAAAACTTTTGGATATGCATAATGTGATATTTTCTATGATATGTAACTAGATTAAAAAGTTTTAATTCTCTTTCTCTCGTTATCTCCATCGTCTACTTCCACAATTTTAATCTTTTTGACATACCAACATATAATTTTTTAATAAGTTTTGCAAACTTTTTTGATTAAAAATTTATTTTTTTTTATTGTTGCTGTAGCAATTTTTCATTCTTTGACGATGACAATGATAATGTCTGATGTGGGATGTTATGGATTATAATTATTTGGCATGTAATATCACTTTTTTAGTTCTTTGAGTTGTGAATTATGTGAATAGTTGTGGATTTTTAAGCACATTGCATTAATATATGCAGTTACTTAACTCTTACTACACTTTTTATACTTATCATGCATCTGACCTGACTCCCTCAGCTTGTTGAAAGATTTTGATTTTAAATAACATCTCAAAAAGACAAGGACTGAGGTTCTCAATCCATTAAAGTTTTTATTTTGAGAATGTTTGTTCTCAAAGTGCCTTCAAGTGTTGAATTCTCAAGTATGATTGATTGTAATTAATACCGAATCAACACCATTGAACTTAACAAACTTCATCTTATTTAAATTACAACTTGTCGATTTGATTAAGTGTAATTTGACTTACTATAGAATAACTTTCTCTCTTTTTTAATTAGGGGCCATTCACTTATTACGTAACGCTTTTAGGGGGGGAGGGGGGTCTAAGATTTTGTTACGGTTCAAACAAGGAAATTTTTTTTTCATACAAATTTTGTTACGAGGGGGGGGGGGTCTAAAAAGTCATTTTTTCGCGTTACGTAATAAGTGAACAGCCCCTTACTAATGCTAGGTTATTGCTTCATCTCATTAGACTCGCTACATCTTCTTATTATCATTATTACTTTAAAAGTTTTTTCATTGAACAAGGAACTTAAAAGAAGACAAGAGAAGATTTTAAATGAATAGAAATTGTTCAAGAATGTTCAAATTAATAAAAGAATTGAAAGTTTTCTTGATTCTGCTGGAAGCTAATCTAGAAAGAAGAAAGAAATTGAAGTTAATGAATTTTCATAAACTGAATATTTATATTACAAACGTGAAACAAGCTTCAATGGTTTAATAACTTGATTGTCAACTGTTTAAAAAGTCTTGAAAGTGGATTTAATATTTTACAAGGAGCAGAACCAGTTTCAAATCCTCTTTTACTGATAAAATGAATCAAAATTGATAAAGTATTTAAAAACTATAGTTCAAAGTTCTTAGTGAACTGTATTCCGAATAGCACAAGTCGTTTAATTGAATAGAAATCCGACGCAAAGCTGGCATGACTCTGGCATGGTGCTACAAAGCTTCGATTTAAATCCAGCACAATGCCAAAGTCACACCGATAAAGATTTAATTGTAAATCTTGGTCTATGTTGATATTCACTTCACCAGTATGAATGTAAGTCTTAGGTGCGAAAATCCTGTAATACACTTCTGGTAAGTCTTTAACATCCAAAGAGGATAATTCTGCTCCCAATTAAACTTCAATCATTTTTATGAGCCACAAATCTTTATTCCCAAACAAAAACATTCCAATAATTCTCAATTTTTCATCACACATTCCTTAAAAAATGTTCAAAAAATAAGGAACCATGAAAGCGTAATGTAACGGAAATTAATTCACAAATCGTGTTCTTGTAAACACATGTTATATAATGCGAATCATGCAATATAAATTGTCCCTTTCCGATGAAAAATTGCCGGAGAAGACATAAGAAATTGTTTTTTATTTATTTTTATTTCTTCGAAAAAAAAAACTTCCTTTCTTGTTCCTTTAGACCATCAATTTTTCTTAAAGAAATAAAAATACACACACATAAAATACGTAATGGATCATTTTACTCACGTCCTTGCGATGACCATTTCACATAAGAAGAAGTAGAAATGGAAAGAAAAAAATCGACATCAGGTCGAGCGAGAAAATTCCACATAAATTGTATATGCTGTATGTTGGAATTTCTTGGTACGTGATGTTCAATGTATTTTACATGTATCCAAAAAAAGGGTTTTTGAATGCAGATGGTAGAAATATTGATATATTGGCAGGCATAGTGGTGAATTCAAATAGGTTTGTCCTGTAGATGCTAGCTTTGGAGCTGGAATTCGAATATTTTTAATGCTGTTTCTTAAGAGAAAATGTCAATCAACAATGTTGGAGGATCTTTTTAATATAGTTTGATCTAGTAAGATCCAGTGAGTTCCAAGAAAGATTAATTTCTAAGAAAGATCAGCTTCTGATTAGGAATAGAACCGAAATCCTCAAATAAAAGATGACTTACCTACATGAGCATAAGAGCTTCAATCTTACACTAACAGATTCGACTCAAAAATAAGTACAGAACAGAAAGAAGAAGAGAATTGAGATCAGTCTTATAAAGATGAAAAGAAAGAAGTGAAAAACCAAAAGGAGAGCACAAGAAATATCACTATAGGATGCTGTAGCATATGAATAACATTTATTGTATAAAAATGAGAAAGATTCAGCACTTTGTGGCCTCGCATGAACGCCTAAAAGCTTCAATTTGAATTTTTATTGCCTTTTGAGTTTCACCAATAAATTGATCGAAATTTTCTTCTTCCTCCTCTTTTTTTTTGTGGATGTGTGTGGGCTAGGGTGCAAAAATATGTTGTGGAAGGAAAATTTTCATGTTGGCTTTCAGCTCTCGTTTGTATCATGAATTTCATATGAAAAATGTATGATGATTTTACGTATGCAAATAATAATATTTTATTTATGCTTACAAAATATATATCTATATATATGTGTACGTAAACGTATTGAAGGAGGAAATTTATGCGTCCTTATGTTGCGTCGACATTAAAAATTCATGTAAAAAAATGTTCCTTTTTAACATATTATATCGAAATATGAAAAGTTTTTTTTTATTCTTGCCTCTTTTTCCTTCTCATCCACACCATCAGTTCCATCTCAATTCGTCTCTATCTCTGGAGGCTTTGCTGTGCCATATGGTAGATTAAAGTTTTGCTGATGTTGCTTTTTCAACTCTATCAGTTTTCTTTCAGGTTCTCATCAGCATGTAATATACAGGATGTTAGGAAATGAGATTTTTCTTTTCGGTGCTGGCATTGGTATTTTAATATTTTCATTTTTGGTGCTAGTCATTGAATTTTGAGTAGTTAATTTAGTGAGAAATTTGTAGATTGTTGTCTTCAGAAGTGTTTCTGATCAGATTTTAAATTCTTCAAGTTGTGGAGTCGAAGTAATGTGAGATTCTGGTAGATTTGAACCTTATGAAGATG